TCTAAAACCACAGAGCAGACAGCAAGAGTGTAACCTAGGATTTGCACCTAATGGTTTTGCAGAACTGGGCTCCCAACAACTGACATAAATGCTACTTAGTATTCATAGCAAAAGCAATAAGTATCAGCTGAATGATTGTACTCAGTAAATAATACTCTTTGAAAAATGAGTGACCATTTAAATTTAGAATTTACACTTTGATAATTACAATGATGGAATATTTCTTTCTGGTCTATATAAATTCCAGTCCTACTTCTCTCTGCTATAGGATGGTAGTTGCATTTTATAAGATTTTTATAAAAAAAAAACATTTTAAATCAACGTGAATTTAAAAAGAGGAGATATCAAGTTCCTAATCTGTCACTTAATTTTCCATGAATAAGCTACTTGCTGCCTTGTTAATTTATCCAAAAAGGAGATATGCTTCTTAATGGGTCCCTGGACAGACCAAACACTATGCCTATGCTTTTGCCTTATTTTTCTTTTTAGAGAAATAGATTTGATAGTAAATTGAAGATAGTACCATGATGTATTCAGAATGCAAAGAAATAAAAAAAAATACATATACCTTTATGTTGGTCATGTACTAAATATTATCTAATAAATTGAGTTGTAAGTTTTTGAATGGAAAATAAAAAGTAACTATGAAGCTCAAATAGCTTTCTTATTTGCAGGTAAAGTAGATAACCACCAAATAGAAATAGAAATACATAGAAATCATATATATCCTCCACCTTCTTCCACATTCACTTTTCATCAATTTTAAACTGTTCTCAATTATTCCAAACTTTTAAAAATATACATAGGGCGCCTGGGTGGCTCAGTTGGTTGGGCAACTGCTTTCGGCTCAGGTCATGATCCTGGAGTCCCTGGATCGAGTCCCGCATCGGGCTTCCTGCTCGGCAGGGAGTCTGCTTCTCCCTCTGACCCTCTTCCCTCTCGTGCTCTCTATCTCTCATTCTCTCTCTCTCAAATAAAAATAAAAATCTTTAAAAAAATAATAAATAAATAAAAATATACATAGACTCCACAGTTGTCAGAGAGTCCTAGGAAAATCCCAGAGAGTCCATTATGATCCTGTCATTCTGCAAATGTGAAAACTGAAGCTCTATAATGACACAGCCAAAGTTGGAGGATTAGTGCTAAATCCCTGAAAAAGGTTATAAGTCCATAGACTCTACATAAATCTATAAAAACATATGGTGCCTTGCTTTTTGAGATTTTCTGGCTTAGTCCCCATCCCCCATTTTGATGTGGGTCTTCTCTTTTCTTCATCTGTCCCTAGTCTACTCAATTTTGATTCTAGTCCCAGTGCTGTGTCTGTTAATGCTTGGTTTCGCTGGGTTTATGAATGTGAACTGCTGAAATGGAAGGGAATCGTGGCGGATCCAGTTTGAGTGTTCATGGTGTCAACGGCTTCCACCCCCCAGAACTTCCCACAGAGCCCTGGACCCACTCATTCCATAAGTGAGTGAAACCCCTCCAGTTTTAGCTACCGTTCTCAAACCACCTGACTGAATTTCCCAGTGAATATCTGTTGGCTCTTTCATGATTCTTCTGTCTTCTCCTTTACAGACATAAATAACACACAGGTCTTGTGGTTGGTGGTTTATCCCTATGTGCTTATATACTGGCTTTGGTAGGGATGCATTTTCACTTAATTTTGTTGTCTAGGTTTTCTGTGACAGACTGACTTCACTAACTAGGTGTTCTGTTTTGATGTGAGAACTTGGGAAAATCCAAAAACCATTCTGCCACAAACCCCACCACCACCACTACCATGTTTCCATAATTCTCCTGCTTTTTTATAGATTTTAAACAATTTCATTGATTTAGAATTTAGAATTTACATACATTAAGATCACCTATATTATGTTTACAATTTAATGGCTTTCGTATATTTATGAAGTTGTGCAACAAACAACTGCCATAAAAAATGTACAGTATTTTCATCCTACAGAGAATCATCCTACACAGAAATGCATATTCCTTAGCACTTATTCCTCACCCCTTTTTTCTTCAGCCCTAAGGAGCCCTAAAGAACCACTCATCTACTTTCTGTCTCTACACATCTGTCTATTATGGATATTTCATATAAACGGTATCATATAATATATGGTCTTTTGTTACAGGTAGTATGTAACAGATAAATACGAAGTGATGTTCTAAGTTCTTCATCTCAGATGGTAAACAGCAACAATTCCATGATAGACTTTATGGCAATGTGTTTGCATATGATTTGAAGTTGGCTACCTAGTGCAGGGCAATAAAACACCAACTGAGAATATGGTCATGGTCAATAGGAATGGTGACAACTATAACAATAAAAGGTGATATACCAATTTTACTATGTGTCAAGCTTCTTCTAAGCACTTCACGTATATTAACATATTTAATATTCACAGAAAGTTATGATGGAAGTCCTATCATTATCATCCCCATTTTATTGATAAGGAAACTGAGGCAAAGTAAAATAAAGTCACCCAAACTAGTAAGTGGAAAAGCTGATTCCACACCCAGATAGTTAGACTCCAGACTTCTTGTTCTTTTTTTTTTTTTTTCTTTTTGAGAGAGAGAGTGGGGGGTGTGGGGGAGGTGCAGAAGGAGAGGGAAAAGAGAGAGAATCTCAAGCAGACTCCTGCTGAGCATGGAGCCCAATCACAGAACCCGAGATCATGACCTGAGCTGAAATAAAGAGTCGGATGCTTAATCCACTGAGCCACCCAGGTTTCCCACAAGACTCCTTGTTCTTTTTTTTTTTTTTTCATTTATTTTATTTTAGAGAGACATAGAGACAGCTTAAGTTGGGGGAGGAGCAGAGGGAGAGGAAGAGGGAGAGAAGCAGATGCCCCCGAGTGGGGAGACTGAGGGGGGCAGGGGCTCCAACTCACCACCCTGAGATCATGACCTGAGCTGAAATCAAGAGTCAGATGTTTTAACAGACTCAGCCACCCAGGCACCCCAAGACTCCTTGTTCTTAACCACTGTTCTATAGTGCATTTCTGATGTTTAGGTTTAGTTAAATACCATTCTCTTCTAAATTGGTGATAGTGCCAAGCAGCTTAGGGTAACAACTTCTGAGTAACACTAATTTTTACTGGCATGTAGTTTAAGGAGACAAAATAATCATTGTCTTTTAGTTCCATAGATATTCTTTCACACTTTCTCAGAATGTTTTATCTTTCTATCTTAACGAAAACCTAATCTGAAAACCTTCATTATCTGTAGCAGATTGGGCTTTAACTGCTTTTTAATAAAGCAATGGCTACTTTGTCCTAAAACATATTTGATACACAATTGACTATATTCAAGTTCAATTGGTCATAATTTGCCTCTTTATTTTGAAGACACAGAAAGAACTATAGACCTAAAAAGTACTTGATCACTAAGCATAAGATATTAAAGTGTTTCTCAGTAAGCTGAGCATTAGATTGAGCTGAATAAAATTAATTATAATCATGTAAATTCTCATATGACTTTGCAAGAATGGGGAAAACAAAAGAGTGCAAACTTCTCCACAAAACTGGCAAAGTTGGAATAAGAACGCTCAGATTTCTTCTGTCCTGAATCAACCCATCTAATAATCATTCTGCCTCTCTTAAGAGCAAAGGAATCTCTCTAGTTTAATAAAATCTCCTTTATTTCTAAAACCTTAGAAAAAAGTTCTGGAGATTGTTTTTTTAAGTTGCCAGAATCATTTACAGATTGAAGAACTAACTATGATAGAAATTTAGCATATTGGGCGCCTGGGTGTCTCAGTTGTTAAGTGTCTGCCTTCGGCTTAGCTCATGACCCTGGGGTCCTGGAATCGAGCCCCACATCGGGCTCCCTGCTCTGCGGGAAGCCTGCTTCTCCCTCTCCCACTCCCCCTGCTTGTGTTCCCTCTTCGCTGTGTCTCTCTCTGTCAAATAAATAAATAAAATCTTTAAAAAAAAAAAAGAAATTTAGCATATTATTAGGAAGGTGACTACCGAAGAATTGAAGAAGCACATCCTTCTAGAATAAACGCATATCTTCTAAGATATATTTTCATGATTATATATTCAGAACCTCATTTTCTGTTGTCCAGAACCATCTCCCAAACATCTCCAAGCCCAAATCCTGTCCCTTTCTTGACATGAATACCCGGATCTCTGTGCTCCCTACATCATCTGGGATCTTTGAAGCAGCCTTGCTCATAAAAAGAGCAGATGCTGTAGCATCACCAAATACCAAATCACATTTTTGAGCTCAGTGAAATGATACTTTAATGTGAGAGCAATAATAAAATTAAACAGCACTTAAGTTTTGCTCGCAGTCCCAGGGGAGCTTGCCTCCAAGAGAATCAGTGTAGAATTCGTTGGCAGTGTATATCACATGGCACTATTTTGGAAATCAGATGGAAGAGTGCCTCAGAAAGAACTTTGCCAGTTGTGAAACTGTGCAAGTATATTTATAATTATTTTTGACATTTTCTGGGTAGTTCTGTAAAGAAAATCTAAGCATAGTTACACTTCACACATTTGGAAGTGAGATAAACGACAGCAAAATTTTTCAAGTTGCTGTTCACCTGCTGGAGTAGCATTTTAAATACCCAAAGCCTCGCTCTCAATTCAAGTTCTGCTTGAATTACACCTGGGTCAATGTATTTCTCATATATCTGCTAAGTGACAGCTTTCTAACATTTTTTTTTTACTAGTTCATTTTAAATTAATTTAGATAAAGGTATGAAAATATTAGGCATGCACTTAAGTTGTGTTGAAAAGTCAATGCAAAGGAAAACACTTCTACATATCAGAGAGGGGATGGTCTGAAGGAGGCAAGGAATTAAATGCTTGGGTGCTTGTGGGAGGGAGACGTTATCCTCTCTTAACATGTAAGTTTATGAAATGATCTCTTTCAATTGATTTGTATGGAGGTACCAAATATATTTCAGCAGCACATTTTGTAAATGAGAAGTAAAGATAAGATGGCTAGATTATAAAAGTTGTTCCAAATAGAAGTGATTTCCAGGAACTTACCAGTCGTGCAGTTTTTAAATTCAATGTCATCAATCGCAGGTCCTCCTCCCAGATCCCTTGTTCTGATGCCTCGAAATAGGACTTCAAAATTCCTTAGCTTTCCTAGCAGGATGACAGCCCGTTGCCAGTGATCACCAGAGTTCTGCTCACTTTCTTGCCATACTTTTGACAGTCCTTTCTCTGTCTGCATTACAGAAATAAACACAAACGAAGAAAAAAAGCCAATCATTTAGAACAGAAGCACCTGATTAATGAAAACTGATTAAAAAACAAACACTGGAACTCTGATAACATCCATGATATACTTGATCTCATTAAAACAGAGGCATATTAGGGGCTCCTGGGTGGCTCAGTCAGTTGAGCGTCTGCCTTCGGCTTGGGTCATGATCCCGGGTGTCCTGGGATCGAGCCCCATATTGGGCTCTGTGCTCAGCGGGGAGCCTGCTTCTCCCTTTCCCTCTGCCCGCCTGCCTGTCGGCCTATTTGTGATCGCTCTCTCTGTCAAATGAATAAATAAAATCTTTAAAAATAAATAAAACAGAGGCATATTAATCTACTACAGTGTTTCCTAGAAGTACTGATAAATCTGTTTTGGTGTTTTCAGAGACACCACTATTTAGGAGTAGCCTACTCGGTTCATTCCACCTCTCCTTTGCATGCACACAAAATCCTCAATATCTGATGGGATCTGAACATTTTACAGAAATCCTGGGTTGTGGCTCAGGATGCTCCCCCAGCCTTCTATTCATATTCTGTAATTATTTAGATTGTACCTTCCTTCAAAGAGTGGAAATAATTTACATGGGAAAAGAGAAGAAAAGAGATGGAAGGAGGAATATGTGGAAGAAATCACTATCCCTGATGGGTATGACAAAGGGATTGTGAAGTGAGCCATGGTGGCAAAGTGATGATTTCTAAGATCAGTGGGTTTTCAAAAATCCTATTAATACATTATTTTGGCTATCTAAAAAATTCTATTATGACTGATATATGAGCATCAACTACAACTTTTTCTATACCACACTCTTCAGTTATAAAGGAAAAATTAATTTTCTAAAAATCTTATATACATATCTTCTCTGAATTGTTTGTTGCTTTTCTGGACCTAGCTCCTCCTGAGAATTAGATGTTTTAATAAATCATGATGACTGACACATTGCAAAGAAAGAGAAATAAATATATATTTGCTATATATATACAGCATTATTAATAAATATATATACTTGCTATGTTATTATATATGTACATATTATGTTTATGGTTAGCCCCACATAATATCTCAGGGTCCACTATTTTGTTCTCATAACAATTTAACAAGAATAACATGTCTGAAGCTTGTAATCAAAAGTGTGGAATTGAGGGGAATGGCAGCCAGAAAACCAAGCACCTGTTCCAACAGATTTATAGCATGCAACTGTGAAATACATAATTTACAGGGTTTTTTTTTAATATAAGCTGAAGAAAAAGAGAAATATTTGAAAAAAGGATCCAAAAGAATTACATTTCCATAGGTTCTTGCTTTTAGGGCACTAATGTTGATAAATATGGCTGACATCTTGTTCTGCTGAGGGAGATGCAATCAAGCAGTTCTTCCTCGGTTGAATTACAGAGAAAGCGGAGCCACATATCAGTTAATCCAAAATTAACTTTGCAAAACAACTAATGGTGTCTAGATAGATTTCTGAACAGCCTCCTCCCCCACCGCCAAAAAATATGATAAATCTTTACATACAGAGACTCCTGTAACTTTTGCCTTGAAGGGAATGGGAAATTCACACCTAATTAATGGAATTTCATATCTTTCTGATGACTAAAGAAGAGAAGCCTTTTTCAAGGTTAATCTTTTACTATCAGTGATGTCATAGTAATGTGGAATCAAAGGAATGATTAGTTACATTAAAGATTAAAGTAGAGGGGGCATGTCTGACACATAGCAACATAACAGGCATGGATATTAATAAAGTCTGTCTTAACTTACAAACTTAACTCACTTTGCTAATATTTTCCTATTAATCTACTTCTGAAGTTTCTAGAGCCACTCATTAACTGTGACAAGCCCCCAAAGGGTTTTCAACAAAAACCATCACAGAAGGTTGTGTGATCATTTTAATCAATAACATAAAAACCATTTATTCAGTCTTACAACTGACCTTCTAGTGAAAAAGAGATTTGAATAATACGTCCATTATCATTTTATGTAGTAAGAAAAGAAAACGAGGGTGAATTCTTTTGAAAACCAACTATGGACCAATCTAAAGGCAGGTGACTGTAGAATATCATTCTAATATATTTACTATCATGCCTCATTTTTTTTAAGATTTTATTTATTTATTTGACAGAGAGATAGGGAGAGAGGGAACACAAGCAGGGGGAGTGTGAGAGGGAGAAGCAGGCTTCTCGCGAAGCAAGCTTCTCGCAAAGCAGGGAGCCCAATGTGGGGCTCGATCCCAGGACCCTGGGATCATGACCTGAGCCGAAGGCAGACGCTTAATGGCTGACCCACCCAGGTGCCCCATATCCTTCCTCTTTCAATATAACATATCAAATCTTATCCCCATAATTATCAAAATTATGCATCCAAATGTAAAATGGAGACTTATTTACTTATTAACTTATCTGTCCATTCATTCATTTATTCCACTAACATTCGATGTTGACATGTACTATGCTAGATACCAGGAATAAAAAGGTGGGAAAAAAAAGAGAGTCTCACCTGTGGAGGTAATAATCGAATATGCGAAAGTGAGAAAAATAAATTACTAGAAGTTACATAAATATAGATTTTATTTATTTTTCTGATATATATCAATATACATCAGAACAATTTTTTAAGAAAACAGGTGTATGTCAATCTCATTTTTGTTCCACATACACTGTAGCTTTATTTACTTAATATTCTGATTTTTGATTCTTTCTAAATTGAAAAAATGAAAAAACCTCTTAATATCAACTCATGACACTGCTACTGGCCAAGGACATATCTCTCGGATTCGTTCATATGGATGTTAAACCATCCCAGCAACCCAAGGCAATAAACATATGAAAAGTGATTGGCCACACTCATAATAGTAAAAATAGACATTAGTAAATGATAATTAAATTATAGAAATTGAAGGAATACTCTCTTCTTGTAATGTAACCATTTACCCAACTTTGAACTGATTTGCCATGTATTATGCATATTGATCCTTTATCTTATATATTGCATATTTGTTTTGGAAATGTATCTGCCCTCATACTTTATGTTAGTGTTTCCCTTTTGTGTCATGAAAAGAAAAGCAGTAAGAAATACTAAAACTCTGCCCCCACGCCCAAAAGCAAAGGCCGAGCAGAGCCTAGACTTCAACCCAAATTCAGTACCCAGGGGCCCCAAGACCTCTCCTTCCAAGATTTTTTCAAATGAAGAAAAACTAAGAGAATTTGTCACCAGTAGACATACCTTAGATGAATGGCTAATGGAGCTTCTTAGAATATCAAGAAGGGATAAAAAAAACACAGCTAAAATATGAGTAAATACAATAAACTTTTCTTATGCTCTTGAATTTATTTTTGATGGTTGAAGGAAAAATACCATGTAATATGGTTCTCAATGTATGTAAAGCAAATAATTAAGGCATAAATATTGTAAGTGTAAGAGAGTAAAGACATAAAGGGATGTAAAGTTGCTACACTGGAGTTAAGTCTTAATGTTGCATTTTAATAGGTCACATTTTCATCCTCAATTTTTTTTGTTCTTTTGGTTTTCTCATACATTCAGTCTCCCAAATGAATCTTAGAATAATTTAACAAATAGGTGAAATTTTAAATATTGAATTATTTTACCCCGAGGTATCATTTATTTTTTGACTTGTTCAGGACTCTTTATGCCACTCACTAAAATTTTAGTCTTTTTAATAAATAAGTTACATACTTATTATAACATTTATTTCTAGATATATGGCAATGTGTGTCACAGTGGCGAGTGGGAGACAGGCAAAGGGCTGGCCTTCTGCCATCCCTGAATCACCACAGAGAGCAACTCACATTACTATAGATGTATGAGTTCACAGGCCAAATTACTAGGCTCCCAGAGACCACATAACTATTAAAAGATGACAATGAACTCAATATATAACATCTAAAGGAGAATTTAAAAACAGATGAAATCAGAGTTTTAGTGCTGGGTGTTGTCTGGAAGTGTTGAATCACTACATTGTACACCTGAAACTAATATTATACTGTATACTAACTGAAATTTAAATAAAAACTTAAAAAATATATAAAAGATAAAAATAAAAGGCTTCATGCATATGTAAGAAGATAAGCAAAGATATAGCAATATAAAATAAAACAGGAAATCATGACAGTAACTAAATAGAAATACTGGGTAAGAAAAATATATGTCCATGAAGAACAAAACAGGTATAAAAACAGCAGGATGGTTACAACTGAAGAATTAATTAACAAGTAGAAAGATCTGGTTCCAGGCACCTGGGTGGCTCAGTCATTAAGCGTCTGCCTTCGGCTCAGGACATGTTCCCGGGGTCCTGGGATTGAGCCCCGCATCAGGCTCCCTGCTCCGCGGGAAGCCTGCTTCTCCTTCTCCCACTCCCCCTGCTTGTGTTCCTTCTCTCGCTGTCTCTCTCTGTCAAATAAATAAAATCTTTAAAAAAGAAAAAAAAATCAATGTCCACGGGACGCCTGGGTGGCTCAGTTGGCTAAGAATCTGCCTTCGGCTCAGGTCATGATCCGAGGGTCCTGGGATCAAGTCCCACATCAGGCTCTTTGCTTAGTGTGGAGCCTGCTTCTCCCTCTGCCCCTCCCCGTACTCATGCTCTCCCTCTCTCTCTGACAAATAAATAAATAAATAAAATCTTTAAAAAAAACCTCAATGTCCACATTATGACATTAGTAAATACCTGCAGTCTCAACATTAAAGTGGCTCAGAAACCCTCTGCCCAACCTCATTTCCTACCAGACTTCTCTTCCTCCTCCTGCTTCAACTGCACTCACTCGCTTGCAGTCCTTCAATGGCCCATTCTCCTTCCCTTCTTAGCACATTCATATGAAATGGTCTTTTTCTTTCCTCCTTTCATCTAGTTAATTCCCACTCATGTTTCAGTGGAATCATCCCTTCCTCATGCAGCCCTCATTGATCTACTCAACTCAATCGGACCTCCATGCCACAGATTCTGAGAGCATTAT